GAATAGTCAATTTTGATCAGAATACCTTGATCATTACCTCAAAACGCGGTTTACTTAAAGTGGGATATGATGAAAAATGCCGGCCACGGCGCCAAGCTGGCGCCCACTGGCGCCAGTTGGAGCGGACGCTGTAAGAGTATGCCAAATCATGATTGGAAGACTGAATGGCCTCAGTAGATCAGTCTATCAGCAAACTGTTCTATGTGCGATGTATTTCTAGAGCATGCTGGTTTTATGAATTGATTCCACTTTTGAAAAAGTGTTCTACAAATAATCCATCGGAGCTTTTCATGGCCCAACCATATACAAATTCGTACCTCTTTAGGAATATATAACAACAGGGGAAATTGTACAGCAACCAAATTATGGAAAAATTCTAGCCTCTGAAGATGGTGACACACCATGTGTGTCACGCGGTCGGAAATGGGTTAACTATGATTTACTTCTGCCTATTTGCTTCTGCAGGTCACACATCTTCGAGATGTTATAAATAATAAAATATCCACTAATTACTTGAGTATGGCACCCAGTGTGTCCTACCCAGTTTAACCCCACTGTGTTGGAAGTTTAACCCCACCTGTGTTGAAAGTATTCGAACTGAGCCCAGAACGGATCCGGCTGGAACATACTTATAAGTCAGAGATCACGATTGGATTTGACCCTGTGAGGTTTCAAAGAAGGCGGATCCACCGAAACGTTGGCCGATAAAGGTAAATAAACCTCGGGAACTCCGTTCAAAATTATTACATCCACCATCCACAAATTTTCCATTTAGATATTGAAATTTCAAGAGAAAATGCAAACGAATTTGAACAATGCGCAACGTACCACATGCTTAGCGGTTGAACTCTGTTGCAAAACGGAATGCTGCACCGTTTGTGCAGGGCGAATCGGCGTCACAGGTGGCGGCTGTGATAGACAGACAATCGAAGGGGAACCACTGCTACCATGGGTTTAGTGACAAATCGTGGAGCAGCCGTTAGAGGAGTAGATTGACGTGGAAGTGTGGCAGGAGCAAATCCACATGCCAGTGGAGGAGGTTGTGGTACGTCATTCTGTAAATTCAATAGCTGTGAAGAATAAAAGAGAATATAAAAACAAATAATCTTATTTTCCACTCCAAAGCAATATTCGGCTTCATAATATCTAACGGCCACGGTTTGCTCGTAATCATGCCATATTTTTAGTGGATTCCGCAACCGCAGTAGGCTGGATACATCAACAGCACGCTTTTAATTCCAAATCATGGATAGGAAACTGCCCACAAAACCTTACCAAGACCGGCGAAATTTTCGGCGTATCATCTGCAGCAGATTACCAGGAAAGCATTAGTATTCTTACGCGATGGATTTGGAGCCAGATCAGGATCAACAATAGAGATTTTGAGATCTGTTGTGACTGCTGAGAAGAAAATTCGCCAAAGACTTCCTGAAAATTTAGTTACGATAGCACGTTTCAACCTCATGGATACATTCTGCGGCATATGCGGGCCCGTGTCATTCGCGATGACGCGGCAAAAGCACGCTCGCTTTTTTTTTCTTCCTGCAAGAACCACATAGCAAGTATCAACTTGTTCGTATCAGTGCTTTTCCATAACGTATGCCGCTTACGCGCTTCAACCACTGATGGGGAACGGGCTGCACCAAATTAGCCTTGCTGACATAACCCTTCATCTGCAAACAAGATTTGGTCAATAACCACATGCTTACAGACCGAGAATTTGTGCGAATTTTGCAAAAACTGTTCAAAGAAATGTTCAGTTTCAATAACAATGCTCGACCACAATCCGCAGAATCGGACCGTCGTGACTACGCGAAGTGAGAACTGGAAATTTTTACGATTGCACTATATTTTTCAGGAAGCGTTCAGACTTCGCGATGAGGCGCGTTGACGAGCTGCAACACTCTAACGCGCTGCATTTCCGGCCGACGCGCTAATGGCAACAGCGCCGGCGGCAACATTCGACAGATGCGAGCGCCGCTGCACACGAGAATCGCATCGATACCGTGACCAGGGTAGAGCATCGTGATGTGTGAAATGGTGGTCGCAGTACGACCTCCCCCACCTCGCTCAGCACATACACATCAATTTCCTACCACATTTTCCAGTTTTTCACCAAGAGATTTCCCGTCGGGGGGGGGGAATAAATAGTACCCATGAAAAAGGAAAAATCACGAAAAATCAAAAACCGGGAGAAATTTCTTCCTAACGCGGCAAATTTATCTCTAAGGCACATATACAACCCCCCCTCCCAAGAACAATCAATACGACCCCCCCCCCTTCCCAGCCAAAAAGTACGACTCCCTCCCTATGTGTTTCACACAACGATGCTGTACCCTGACCGTGACCGTACCGACTGAGCGACGCCTCCATATTCTCTCTCTCAATACATAAGCGCGCGACTGACTAATTTCCGTCTGCGACAGCGTTCGCATCTGAAGCCTTGGAGCGTTGTCGCAACTGCAGCGCGCTAAAGATCGATGACAATACAGCGAAAGTTTTTTTTAATATCCTCGAACGGTCTACGTTCCAAGCTGTGAAATGGTCTAGACCGAATAAAACCTTCATTTTGCGATTGAGCACAAACAGGAACAATTTGTTCAACATTCAAGTCAAATTTTTACTTAACCTGAGACGGTTTGATAAAAAAAATCGGAGTGCAACAGTTAAAGACACATGGTACGCTCAAACACATTGAGGGTGTATGAGACTATCAGCCCACCCAGCTGCCGATGTGTCGTGGTCCCCCCGCCCAAACATGCCCAGGAATGGAGATACAGGACCGTGAAACACGCTAATTCCTCCATGCTCCGCCTTACACCTTTTGCGGCGCAGATTCCCGTCCTTCATAACATCCGTCGTAAGCGCACGTGTCGCGTGCGGCTCCTTGGCACTCTGCCGAGTCCTTTAATTGCGCTCTCAAATACAAGTAAAACGCAATTTCCTGATGCGGATAACATTGGGTGCTGCAAAATAAGAACAGAAGATCATGACGCAGCGGCCAGAACTCAAGGGCAACTAGCATCTGCGGATCTATCCATCAGAGCGCGCATTCCCACAAAACATGAGAATAAAAACAGCCCAAGCGTCCCATTCGTTTGTTCTAAGTAATTCTATGGCTTTTGGATTTTCGCGATTCGCGCCGGATCGTAGAAATTTACAGGCCAATTTATCTAATTTGCCTTTCCTTGATTTTTTCCATTCTTGTTTTATTTAGATTTATATCGTTGTCGTTCATTTCTAGCCTGTGTCATCTTCATCTCCTTGTACATGGATTTTGAAGCATGAGCAACACCTCAAATTTTATTCGCGTCAGGAAATTGCGTTTCGTTGTATTAAACTAACGAGTATGTCGTTTTTATTTTCATGTTTCGTGGACATACGCGGCTCGAGGGATGTTGCAGAAGTGGCACAGTTGCTTTCAAGTTCTGACCTTCGTCATCATCTTCTGTTCTTATTTTGAAGACCTCAATGTTATCCGCATCAGGAATTTGCGCTTTACTTGTGTTTGATAGCGCAATTAAAGGACTTGGCAAGGTGCCAAGGAGCCGCACTCGACACGTGCGCTTACGACTGCTTATGAAGGACGGGAATTTGCGCCGCAAAAAGCTATAAGGCAGAGCATGGAGGAATTAGCGTGTTTCCCGGTCCTGTATCTCCATTCCTGGGCATGTTTGGGCGGGGGGACCACGACACATCGACAGCTGGGGGGCTGATAGTCTCATACACTCAATGTGTGTAAGCATACTATGAGTGCCTTGTCCTGCTTGTAAGAGCGAAACAGCGATCACAACAAAATTACGATAAACAAAAGTTGGCGCAGTTCGGCGGCGGGGGGGGAAGGGCATTTCTTTGCTTCATTGCTTCCTTAGTTCCGGTTTACAAGTCTCACTCTGACGAAACCTGTGCTCATGTGAAGCTGGAGCAAGGTCATCAAGCCATCATGTTAAATATGTCGACTTGAGAAGGCTGTCTAGATAGGTCGACACATCGATGGGAAGTGGCAAAAGTGCAATGCGCCCCTCCCTCGTCCAAGAGTTTTACCAACCTCTTCATCATCATCCAAGGCGTCGTCTTCGAGAAGAGGCCGACTCCCAGCACAGTCATCGTCGCTAGGAATGCCAACAACATCAGTGTGCTGTGATGATTCACCGTCTCCATTGAACTCATCAAAAGATGATTCTTCGTTCTTAATACAATAGATGCACCAATATAAGAAACAAAGAAACCAAACCACTTTTTTATATAAAATCTGAATGATGAGCTGTGGTAGAACCGGCTAATTTCTGAAGTGAAGAGTACGCCTACCTTACTGATGTCATCAGTACTGTCATGATCAGTTCTGCCACGGCTATCACTGCTTGCATCATCACCCACACCGTCGATGTTCTCATAGCTGAACCGTCTCCGAGCAACCATTCGCTGCTCATCTTGTTCACTGTCATCTTCCTTAATAATACATCTCTGTGCTAAGGATTTTCGAAATGTTCGTCATATCTAGAAAATGAACGGCTGAAGTCTTCTCCGAACTTACCATGGCACGCTCACGTATGTCAGAAACTGAACCAACTGAATCTGCATCTGCGCGGCCACCGCTCTTTGATTCTTCTTCTGAAATAAGAATTTTGAAGAAGTTTTTTTTATGATAACTGCTGTTTAAAGACACTCCCCGCGATCAAGTGGTCCTCAAAATGACTTCGTGCTTTTTGGAACCCTCTACGCCTTGACGAAGATGATACCACTTTCATCCCTCAATATGGCGCGATAAGGAAGTTACAGCGATTTCCACAAGGCTCGCTAGGCTCGCTGACACGGTAGGTGGACGAGGCGTCCGGTCCCGAGCTGCTTCCGTCCCTTTAAAGTATCCTATTTCGAAAGTCGGGACGCAATTGCGGCTGCCGCATCGATTTCTGGCAGCCACGTCCGGCACACTCGTCCAGGCCCCGCCCCAACTGCTAAAGGGAGGTCTATGTTCAGGGTGCCAGCAAGGTTTTTTTTTCGATTTTTTTTTACAACTGGGGTTTCGAATGGGCCAGTGCATCGTGACTGAGCACCAATTACCCGAAAACTTGATCGCGGGAATTGTCTTTTGAGGAACGCGAACTGCGGCGTTAAACAGCGGGTTCGACTCCTGCCTGCGGCACGACTTTTGCCCATAACTCAGCATCCTTGTGATAACTATAAATGTTCTTTTCTCCTGTCATAAACGGTCGAAAAAAGTTTATCGATCGAGCCTACATGCACGAGGGGCCTTGACGTGTAGGAACCGGTTCAGTCACGGGGCTCAGAGAAGAACCCTCACCCTTCTCATTCCGAATCGTTTTTCATATTTCCCATCACCAAATGCCTTCCCGACACAAAAATATACCGAGGAAATGGCATGGAAACGAAGCTCACGCATATGAAAAATCTTGTGTAGAATCTCGACTACGATAACTCTATGAAAACCTGCATAAAGCACTTAACTACACTAACGACGAGTTGTGATAAATTAATCTAATACTCAAGTCACCTGCTAGTAGTGTTTCAGTGAAGGGGACAAATGGCGCCGCACCGAATGGATCTGTAGAGTCAATGGAACACCGATCGAGGTCACCGGACGAGTCCAAGAGTTCAGAGCCTGTAAAGGTTGTGAGATTGAAGGAAGAAGTTTCAGACATGAAGCCAGTGAAATCTATCACAACAGTCAGAGATTCGCGTTTGCCTATGAGATTCATCAAGCCATGGACAATGGTCTGCATCAGACACAGCACCTTAAATTGATTTATCTTTCCTAGGCCAACTATTATTGATTGTCAGGTTCGAAAAACTTTCATCAATCGTAAATAAGTCGAGTTTATAGACGCTTTTCCGTAGCTTTCATACCTATCTAGTGTTAATCAATCTCTGTTGACTATGGGTGACCACATCGCTATAGATCAACATGCTCATCGACCTTGTTTGTTTACGAGATTTCAAAAGGAGCAATGTTGTCAAAACTCACTGAAAATTATTTCATGGAGGAGGGTCAGACATTATTGCATGACCTATGGTTTCAAAAAGTCCAGCCGATTGGCCCACATCAACTATAGCTTCGGAGATTCAGATCGTCGAGGCCGACGGTTTCGAGAATACTGCCATTGTATAGCATTCAGCGGTAGCGAATTTCCTTCAAGCAGTGCGGGAGATAAAAGCAAAGGTTGTAACTTCTAGAATCGCGCACCGTTTTCAAAATTTTTGTTTCATTTTTCAGGCTGCCCCACAGAATCGTCCCAGATTTCACTTTTTGTTCCCACAAGTTTCTCAATTATAAATGTAATGGTTACCCGCATACTCGTTTTACCTCTCAGATAGACCTAACTGGATTAAGCTTGAGGGATGTATCTCCTGAGCTTTGCATTGTAATGAACTGACAATAGTTGGATTGAGAACGAACAAATGAATAACCTTTGTCTTTTTCCGATTTCCGAGGCAATTCGTCGAAGCACCTCCCAAAATGGCTGTCATCCATTGTTGGTGAACTGCCGAAGGGGGCTGCCAGAAATGGATTCCAGACATCACTCTATAAAATTACCTACTGAGTGTGAATAACCCAATTATCCTTTTAAACTCACTTTAGGCTTATCCGAGAAATTGTCTAATCCCGAGCTTGACTGCGATGTTTGATTATAAGTGAGGGATGGGTCCTTCCATTGACTGTAAGGCCTGGAAATATCAATATCAAAAATCCTGGACATTAATCGAACAAGCAAGAGTCAGCTTATGAAAAAAAAGGGTTGAGACACACAAAAACGTCGAAGTACGCATGAAAAAGGCTATAAATTAGAATGATCGTCTAAAGCGAGATGTACTACAAGCTAACCAGCAGAGACCAGGAGGACGTAGCGATGAATCCTTGGACGAAACTAACTTTTGCTGTACTAGGCGCCCCTTGAATGAGCAGTGCTTGGTGTAGGGACATGACTCGTCTCTAGCCCAGGCTGGAAAACTGGTGAACTTGAAAATGAAACTGGTGCGATCGAGCCATTAAGTACACTCTTTGCAAGAGGATTGCTTGAAGTCAGGAAGTTTTGCAGACGCTACAGGAGTACAGCGTTATTCTCCCTTGGCCTTGAAAAGTCTGGAAATTCTACTCAAGCACTATTTCCCCAACCCCAGTACTGGAGATGCAAAGGTTCCCAACAGTGTCTCATGATGAGCCTCTTTATGTCATATTCCCATTATTCATTATGACGCTGGAATGAAAAGAAAGGGCAGCATACTTCCTCTCCATCTCAAAATCATATTGCTCGTGCCGAGAAATCACACGTTTACTTTACTTACTTTACTTTATTATTATCGGCAATGAACTGAACAGCGAAAAAAAGATGTAATCAAGGAGAGGAAAACACAGATTCCCGATAACTACATCAAGAACAAGGGGGGAAGGGTTAGGGATGCAACAGGGAGGGGCGGGTTTTTGCAGCTCAGAAGGACAGTGGCCGCCCAACACTGTAAGTTCGACAGCGGACATCGTTCGAATCCCGGATACCATCTTAGTAGGTCCGCCAAACTCGTTGCGGCCCGGCTCCCATTATCGGTAGTGCAGGGAAGGGAGAGAGGTAGATACACATGAGAAGAACCAAACACCGCATGGCGAACCCTGATTTCACTTCACATCTTCAAATATCAAAAGAAGTGCTGCATTGCTCAGGAGCTCTGACTGACCCCTATCAAAAAGGATGACTTGTCCCCAGCAAAAAGATGACTTGTCAACCCCAAAATAACGCTGTGAAAGCTCTGATGTACACCTCGCTTTCAAGAGTCACCGCGGTTTTCTCATCTATCCCCCTCATATGAACTCTTCTAGGACAAATCCTTACCTATGGTGGAGACGGTGAAAGAGCACACCGCCAAACAACAAAAAAAAACTAAAAAAGGCAAAAAATAATCAAGATATTTACTTGAAAGCGCTTCGAATGATATGCGAAGTGTCACTGGTATTCCGGCGATGGGATTGGTAACTCGGTGCAGTACTCTTTTCTACACCTGGAAGCGATGTCGTGGAAGATGCTGAGCCTTCCAAAGTTGAGATGCTGGGGTCTGCAAAATGTGAGCGTAGATATGATAACAAAAAAAAGAATTATTTGGAATTCGGGTCTTAATAGTCGAAGGAAAGATGTCAGATTTTACTCCGACATAAGACAGTGTTTTTCTCACCAACTGTAGAGAATATGGAAAGGGGAGAACCGGCAATTGCGTGCTAGGGGGACCAGGCACACTTCTCACCTCTGAATATAGAGAGAATGTGAATAGGACGAAGGCGCCAGTAGGCGCCAGCTTAGCGCTAACACATTTTTCATTGGAATCAATAAATCAAAGAATGAAGGATGAAGTCTTCGCCGTTAGTTAGTCTTTTCCGGGAAGCGGCACGCATCTACTTCTATTCAGAATCGTAGTGGGTTACTGTATGTGACGTGGATGCGATAACGACAAAAGTTATGTTTCGTATCCTCCGGCCTGAATCTGGTACCGTGGACGGAGGCTTGGAGGCTCGGCTGGCCTGGCCGGGAGCCAATCCACAATTTGATCCCGGAACGTGCGCGTGGTAAGACCCTTGCCACTAAAGCACCTCCACCTGCTAAAACTGGCATAATCTTATATTCCAAAGTTATTTAGCACCATGGTTACACGAATGGCTTTCGATTTTGACGCCAGCGCGAACACAGCGCACGACCTTGACTGTTTTAATCCGAGCGAAGTGCGACTTACACGGCCCTAACGGTGAAACAGAAGGCCTTTAGTGCAAAGTAGCAACATTTTGATAGAATTTGCATATTTAAATATCACATATTGCACATCAACTAGCAGCTAACAAGACGCAGACTGAACCCACTCTTGGCCTCACGCAAAAGTGTATGCACGAAGCGCTAAATCAGTAAGCAACTTGATAGAAATGAAGATGTTTGCGAGAAAAAAAAAGAATGATGTGAAAACGGAAGTTTCGTCCGAGGGTGGAGTTGCGAACAGCGAAAACATAGAGAAACAATCGGAAACTCACCATGATGCATGTGAACAAATGGATTCGGGTTCGATACCACTTTCGAAAAGTTTGCACCATCGGTACAATCAGAAGACTTCACAGCGGTCTCTTAATAAGATAACTTTTGAATAACTTGAAAAGAGAGAAGAAATGCATTCAAATGATGGGAAGCAAATAACAAGGTTGGAGAAGGCAAGTTTGGAGGCGGGCTTGGGCCAGCCCCCTTTTGTGCTCCTTCACGCCCTCTCAGTTAGATAGTGTCCACCCATTACTCCAAAAAAAATCTTAGCCTTAGCAGGAGCAGACAAGCAGGTAACGAGAGCAGCCTAACCAGTAGGGGTGCGTTCCTACTTGGCGTCAGCGTTTTCAGCGAACAGTAGCGTTTGAGCGTACGCCAGTGTTTACGGCGTCGACAAAGTAAAGGTATGCGTCTAGCGTCCTGAAATGCTTGCGCAAAGTACAAACGCACTCTTACCCCTCAACCACCTTAGCACCAGATAACTTACCCAAATCAGTAAAACCCAAGTCGGAGGGATGTACAGAAGTAGATGGAACTTCCATATTTTCCAAAGTGAAATGAGGATGAGCTGCTGAAATAAACGTGGATCATCCACAGAAGATGACCACTTTTTAAGCATCGGGAGCGAACTACAACTCATAATTTTGTCAATCATCGGTGTTCATTAGAATTTTATAATCGATAAGGCTATCCCTCAGCAAAAGGTAGTCATGTGTGAAGAGATATTTAGTTTCAATTCAAAAGCCCGTTTTCATTCACCAACAAGGTCAACCTCGAGTTTCAGGAAGTAGACACAAAACTGCGACGTGAGATTTGTTTTCAGTGAAGTAGAAACATGTAATCTCACCCTCTGTAGCTTCAACTCTTCCTCCAGCTTCTTCGCTTGGGAGGATGAATTTGTCCTGAGGTAATGCCTGAACCAATGTAGCCGTACAGACTTCTTTTCAAAATCTCATAGCAAGGCTCATAATGAAAGAACAATAATTCTACAAAAGTATATCGCCACACTTGTCTGAAGCAATGCAACCCCAGCCTAATCACCGATATCAGCTAGTAACGAAAAAACCATTTTCTTGAAATTCTAGCAGTGTTACGTTAATGAACACGTGCAACACCGAAAGAACGTCAAAAGGTGAACTGTTTAGCGCAGAGCCGCTTCGAGATAGCCACCATGTTCTTCTTTCAGTTCCGAGCTACGGATAGGCGCCTTCGGCCCCCAGCATAAGCGAGTATTTGCAGTGCGATATCACCTCACTTCATACATATGATGTTCACTTTGAATTCACAGCTTTTCAAATCAAATTCACTCCAATTTTTAGACCGGCCAACCGTCAATCAACCATACCGCGCTCGACACCATCGCAAGCCATCCGCCTCAATGACCACGCCTCCTTGTTAGCGCGGTTATAAACTTTCAAAATTTATTTTATGATTTCCGCTTCTATGACTTTTTGATTTTTGTTGTTTCGCCCGTGTAAACTGACAGAAAAGGACTGTGCATCGACACACAGCCGACCCGCCCTTTTTTTCAAAGAGTTTGCAGCAAATTCCAATTTCCATAACCTTTTTCAACGTTGTTAATTTCACATCCACTCTTCACAGAACGGAGGTAGTCATACCTGGGTAGATCGATAAAGTCTATAAGGTTATTTACAAAGATAGATAGCAAAACTGCAACCTGAATTCCACAAGCAACTTATGACCTGGTAAAATTTGTAATGGTGCCGTAGGGTGGAAGCTTGGTGGTGAGCTGTGAAGCATAAGCGAGGAATCGCATACGTCGAATCGAGTCGTGGTGGTTCAGTGGTACGGTTCGAAGTTCGACGACTGGATTCCACTTATGCGAATCCTTGCTTATGCTTCACAGCTCACCAACGAGCCTGCACCCTAATGCACCATTAGAAACTTTACTTGCTCACAAGCTGCTTGCGAAATGCAGTTGCAGTTTTGCTATCCATATTTGTAAATAACCTTATGGACTCTATCGATCTACCCAGGTCTCCCTTCAAAGTTCCATGTTAAGTTGGCAGACTTCCATGGTAAGCTCCATTCTCCGGCTGCACCCACTTTGCATCCTTTTGTGAAACTTTGGTCTTCCTTCAAAATTTTCACACTTTCGGACTAATACAAAAGTTCCGCTCATTTTGGAGAGGCAAGCCCATTTTTTGAAAATCGATGGAAATTGGCTGGCTAGAGTCTCATCTGGCATGTTAGGGTCTCGTACCTTACCCGAAACAAACTTTGCCTGGTTTTCCAAGAGACGAGCATGACTCCAACACGCTAAATGAGACTCTAGCCTGCCGATTAGTATTTTTCAAAAGTGGACGGGGTTCCTAAAAAGTGAGCTGAGCTTTCCATGGTGGGCGCTTTCCATTTTTTGGACTGCTACGGGTACCCCTACCCGTAGCAGTCCAAAAAAATGTGATAATTTCGAAAGAATGTCGAAATTTTGCACAAAATGGGAAAGTGTGTGTGGTTTATAGGGCAGAGCTTAGTGTTAATATATCATACGTATCATATGTTAATATATATACGCGTCTATTAGTATCTCCGTTCTGAAAAGAATGAGCATGAAATTAACAAAACTTAAAAATGGTATGAAAATTCGCGAGAAGTTTCCAAAAAACCCTTTGAAAAGTGGGCGGGTCTAGCCATGTGTCGATGTGCAGTCTTTTCAGTTAGTGTGCATGGACGAAATAAAAAAAATTCAGAAGTAAAAGAAGCAGAAATCTCAAAACACAATTTTCAAAATCATGTCCACGCTGAAATGTGGGGGTGGCTGTCGGGGTGGGGCCTGCAGCAGTGCCTAGTGCGGTATGTTCAAATAAGTCTGAATTTGTTTTGGAAAGCCAGACTGTTTTGTAAAATAAATTTGGTTTGAAAAGTCGTGAATTTGAAATGAAAATGGTATACACTAGCGAGGTGGCTTAAAAGCTCTACGATTCCTTCGAAAATGTATAGATGTCGAATGAGAAATGAAAAAAAGTCAAGCTTTCATATATCCCAAACCGAAGATCCGAAGATTGCAAGTCGGTAGCGGCGTAAAATGTAAACATGGCACTGAAAGGACATTCGCCCCTACCTTCGTATTTGAGAGCACAAACGGAATAGTTGGGGTACTGCTAATCGGCTTCGGACGAAGGCGAGGTTGAACCGAAGTTGTTTGCATTGCTGGATCATTGGACGGTTTGTCAGGAGCAAGTGAAACAATAAGTTCAGCTAAAATGGATCATTATGATTGAAGAACCACAATGATTCCAAATGGCAAGAATGCCTAACACTGACTGAAAAGTTTGATGGAACTTCTTATCAGAAGGCCTGTTCACTTCCAATGATTCATCACACCCTAAGTCAAGGCGTCGCCTTTGTTCTAATGCTTTAGTCATCACAAACATGTTTTGCTCTAAACAAAACTATTTGCTTGTTATCTTTGGCGTAGCACGCATCCTTCATAAACAATATCTGATTACGTAATAAGAGTTCTGAAGATGCTAATAATAAAAATCCTCGTATCCACGAAGTACAGTTAAACTACTTGGAGATGGGTAGCCAGCCCGATAGCCTCTCGGCTGCAGAACGAAAAAAAAACTAAGTGACGTATGGAAAATTCTGGATATCCCCATTCGTCATGCCATTAAAAGTGCACAACGGATAAATAATTTTTTAACTGCAACCTGCTAGAAGCGTTTCCAAGTAATGTTTTGGCGTATTCAAGCCCTGCAAGCAGCAGCATCACCTCAAAATTTCCTGGCCTGAGATTTCTTTAAAGGCTCATGGAAATACAATCCTGACAGAATTCAAACATTTTGGCCAGCCAACGGGAAAGATGGCAAACTTTTACCGCTGCTATGGAACACATAATAACTTCAACACAATGCGGACTGCCGTGCTGCGAGGACCTCCGCATCATTTTGTCACTTTTCATTTATGATCAGTAATTTTATCTGGTTTTTTTCCCATTTTTCTTTGCGAGTGTTATCCGTGCCCAAAAAGCGTTCTGATAACTTTACAACACCAAATAAATGCCAGATAAACCATTGGCAGAGAGGAAAATCTATGACACACCATGTGAGTCAGGCTGTACGAAAAGTGTGAGCCTCGCCTTGAAGAAGTTAGGACTCAAAAGTCATGTGAATTATCAGGTTCAAAACCGCCAATTGCAGCTGCTCAATAAGGTCTGCGAATTCAATGGATAACTCACAGCGTTCTTCTTCTTGAGGAGGCACTACAGTATTGTCTTCACTCTTGGGTTCGTCATCAAACAAGTACGGACGACCCGACAGGAAGGACTGCACCGTCACAGTAAGAGAAGGTCTGCGACAATTCTTGAAAAAATTCTCGTCAAAACAAATAAAGAAAGAAATTCCAAGAAAAGTTACTTACGCGGACATTCCTAACAGGGCAAGCACGCTCTGCAGCAGAAAAAGCTAGCACTGAGCACTGGTATATTGACGGTCTTCTATCTACATCAGCATCAAGAAGGCTTCCTCAAAACAGAGCAAATATAATTTGTGCCCAGATCCATTTTTGATTCTACATTCATCCTATTTATTGAGCGCACATCCGCCATGATTACTTATTAGGTTGGTGCATAAGTTCTCGGCCCCCTGTTTGATTCTTCCGTATTTCGTTTGCATGGAGGTTGGTATTTCGTAATCAAGTGTGCGTGACGTGTACATGATACTCTTTCACCACACCAGCTATCACTAATCCACCCTGCATTTGCAGGCTACAATGCCGCACAATTACCAGTGCAAAACCGTCACAGTGGTGATTGTGCGGCATTGTGACCTTCTTCGAATCCCAGCCCCCGTCGTTCGGGGAGGATGGAATCGACAAGCTGCCTGAGCGCTGGCGACGAGTAGTTCATGGTGATGGTGCATACCTCTAATCTTCAGGTTGGTTCGCTATTGAGATATTTACGAAAAAGTCGTGGCTAAGAACTTATGCACCAACCTAACATTTTCATCAACAATCAAAAACCTTAGGCAGTGTTCATAGAGAACGTGTCTGAAGAAATGACGAAACTGCGGACAGAAGAAAAGATACGTACTGATTTGAGAAACCGCGGAATCAGCAGAAATACAGAAGCGCAGAATCGGCATTCTTCCCATGTCGGGGCTGAGCGATCAACCCCTATCTAGTCGTAGTCCGTCACACCGGCATTTTTAAAAATTCCGCGGTTTTTGAATAGATACACATCCTTTTTTTCTATCCGCAATTTCGTCACTTCTTCGGATATCATGTATGAATGTGGCCTAACAATCTTTCTATTGATAATAATGCACTAAGCGCCGTGTTGCTGACCTACTGACTTGAGGTATAACTTTAGGAAAACATGAATAAAAAAGGAAGTAAGAAAGGTATTTTCCTTGTATTTACGTAATTTACAAGACTAGAGCAATCGTCAACATTAAGTAGATGAAGAGTAGTAGTCAAGAATCTCCTAAGGGTTATTGCGAAACAAGACACCAAAACGAATGTTGAACACCCACTTATTATAGCCTTCAGCGAGTCCGGATGTTGTGGTTCAGTTGGAAACGAAAACGCTCCATTCTGGATAGCCATTGCAGATTCACCAAACGGAAGGCAAAAGTAGCATAATTTGTAGAGCATCACTCCCATTGCCCATGTATCAGCTTTTGTTCCTGAACAGACTACTTACAATATACTCCTAGTGGGCGGTCGAGAGACACGTTTCTTCTTAGAGTTAGAGTTACTCAATGAGGTACTGTACAACAAAGGGTGCAGGGCAAGTCTCCCTGCCGAGTGATTTAGCCTTCATGGAACTATCATGGGGGTGTGCATTGACGAGAGCGAGTGGTGATGCAAACTTACACAGGGTTCGTCAACTGTTTCGTGTTCTCATTTAGAGAGACCTCTACAGATCTTGCATGCAGCTATGCAAGCCCATTAACAAACAGATGAAGGGATTGTTTTATGACGACATTTGAAAATTCAGGTTACATTTTGGGAAATTCATTTCCTATCTTTTCCCATTTCTCTCCAGGATCATTTGAGCCAACTTACAAATTTTTGAAATTAGTAGCTCCTGGCTGCGCGCACTGCCCGTTCACAGTGGGTCGGACTTAGTAGTTCATGTATGTTCCGTGCATCATGGTCCATGCCCTGCCCACCCCACCCTTGACCCGCCCCTCAAATTGGCTCTTCAGGTGATGCCGAATGTGAATAGTCAGTTTCCGGACAGACAGACAGACAAACAGACGCAAAGGAAAAAAAGAAAGACATCCATTTGTATAGAGTAGGATGGAGATATGAACTATTTGGAGACTTGCACGTCTAATGTGGGCATTAAAGGCAATTGGCACGATAAATCGCTATACAGATGTAGGATTTATACGACTGGCTTAACAGAATTCCGTGACCTTGGATAGGGCCTTATAAGGGTACCATTCTTGGATAGGCGCTCCGTAGCGCCTTTCCCAAGGATGGTACCGATATAACGCCCTATCGAGCAATAAATTCCGTCCCAAACGCCTTCCTCGCCCGCCCGCCCACAGACGGACGACCGTTCCTGACGCTCGTATTGATTCATTTGCTGAGCAAACTATGAAGCAAAGGGATTGGTATGAAGCGGCCGTGACGCCGCATGCATATATGGGTACACATATGCAGCCGTGTCTTCGGTGGCGGTGACTGGTAGGATTCCTACGGGAAACTCGTCCGATCGATTTTCAAGTCACTGAGAACGGAGGCTTCTCCTCGCCGGATTTTGACCGTTTCACTCCTTTCGCCATTTCCCCACTACACAGCGCCCTACTAGCATTTCAGGCCGAGTGGGAAACCATCGTGCCAACTGCCTTTAAGATACCACAACGAGGCTATAGACCAAGCAGGGTACACAAACTAACCCAGTGAATCAATCATGCCTTTGTCACAACCACAAACTCGGACCCGAAAATTTGGCGCACTTCGACGGGGGGGGGGCATACTTCACTCCCGCTGCCTACCATTGTTGTGTGGAGTCATAAAGTATGGACTTGTGAAATCTTATGAAGCCATGACGTGATACCAGTCAAGGTTTGTGAAAGATGCTTGTCAATTCTCGTCAAGCAACGAACATAATACTGCGAAGCGCCCCGATATTTTAAAAGATGCTTGATATTCTAACCCTTTTTCATTATTTTAGTGACAAAACAGCTCACCAATTGGCTTTCCACAGTATAAGTCAATCATTTCTGGTGATCTATAACTGAGTGTTGTGTATTTTTCTATCTCGTCTTGAATGAAGTTTATAGAATAGTTGCTACTCGACAGAATCTGAAATTTAATGCAATCCAACGCAGCATTTTGAGTGTAATTCTTTTGTGCCTGCGAGGTTGCTAGTGGAACTGTTTATTGACGGCCTGACGTTTCGACCAGATCGTCGTCCTCGGAGGCCTGAACATCGCCCAAGATTTTTAATTTGCTTTCTGAACCGTCAAACGCCTCGTCCTCTTAGCGTTTCTGACGGAACTTCAAGGAACAACCGAAAAACTCCCGTATGTATAACTAACTCACCGAGTCCACCGCGGCAAGAGCGGAAGAAGCCGCCCAGTCAATTGTTAGTAGTATTTGTGAGACTCACTGTGCTGTCTTTACATATAGTAATCATATTCAAGACTTGCAGTCTCACTGCTCACAGTAGCTGGCAGTGTGGTGAAAATGGCATGAGATCATTTGTTATGGATAAGCACTCATTTCATTTGTTCTTCTAGGATACCTAGCAGAAATCCAGAATGCCTCCAGCGCTTTCCTGGCGGAAACCTCAGTCTCGTACGCTAAAATTTTGCACTTCACGTCATAGTCGTCTCCGCAATGCTCCTCGTGCTAGCGCCCTTCCAGTCTCCCCAATGTATGTTGCATCACATGTCTGGCATTCATGTTTCAATCTCCTATTCTACCATTAGGACATATAGTGCATTGGTCTGATGCACACTGCTTATCGTAGAGCCTGTTTCGCACAAGCTGGCGCCTGATGTTGTCATTGCGAATGTTCACCAAGACAACATCATTCGCCAGCTGCGCACGAGTCAGGCATTTTTGAATTGCAGCAGTTATATTATCAGATATGAACGGTATACATAGAGGGACCTTGCTTTGGCGAGTTTGACGCGGTGCGCTCGGGCGCTCAGTGTGAGTTCTCCTGTGAACATGTGGAACAGTATAGCCGTTTGAAGCAGCTATATCAGCAGCCAAGCGTATGGATTCTTGCCGTTCTGTCACTCCTGTGCATACGTTTGCAGCTGTCCTGAACATGTTCTTAACAACCGCATGTTTCAACCCGGAAGGATGTGCAGATGTGGCGTGAATCAAGATATTCTTGGAGCTTGCTTTCCTGTACCACTTCACACTGAGCAAACCATCGGAAACTTCACCTGAGTGTTCAGGTAGGGGAGCCAACCATCTCGTGGGGTTTCTCGTGTGAGCTTAATGTACTGCGACTGCTGATTCATCAAACGGTAACACTCCATTTCAGACTGTGTTGATGTTACAATAAAGCAGTCATCTATGTTCCTGCAGTACATTAACGGTAAGCGTTCCAGTACTGATTCTTCTGTTCTGCTCATAAAGCAGTTTGCAAGCACTGGTGCTAAGCGTTGACCCATAGCGAGCCCTCTCGTTTGAGCGTAGTAAGCTCCTGACCACTTGAAGATGTTGCATTCCAAGCATGCCTTGATTAGAGTCATGATGTGCGCTTTACCTAGTTCATAGGTGTCTATGCTCGCTACATACCTGTCCAACATTTCTGACAATGCTTGTAGAGCTTGATCGTTCATTTCGGACGTTAGTATAAAGCGAAGTGACATCGAATGACCCTACTACGCAGGTGCCTGTCAGCCGTGAACTGCGTAAGAGTTTAAGGAACTTGGTCGTGTTGGTCAGGTGAGAGGGAACTCTGGTCAACTGCAGTTAAGAAAACATGAAATTCGATCGGTTGGTCCACCCACGCAGCTTATGATTGGCCGAATCTTGAAAGTTTCTGGTGATGTCGACATCATGTCTCTAGGAGCAAGTTTGTGGGTTTTAACAAGGCTGTAGAAGACAGAACGGTCCGGGCTGTTAAGTCTGAGTCTGCTAAGCAGCCTCTCGTTGAGTTGGGGAGACTGGAAGGGCGCTAGCAACGCGCATCAAGGAACATCTTACTGGTACAAGGCGTGGTAACCTAACAACACCGCTGGGCAAGCATCTGATCGAAGAGCATTGCGGAGACGACTATGACGTGAAGTGCAAAATTTTAGCGTACGAGACTGAGGTTTCCGCCAGGAAAGCGCTGGAGGCATTCTGGATTTCTGCTAGCAATCCTAGAAGAACAAATGAAATGAGTGCTTATCCATAACAAATGATCTCATGCCATTTTCACCGCCCTGCCAGCTACTGTGAGCAGTGAGACGTGCAAGTCTTGAATATGATTAGTATATGTAAGTACAGCACAGTGAGTCTCGCAGATACTACTAACAATTGACTGGACGGCTTCTTCCGCTCTTGCCGCGGTGGACTTGGTGAGTTAGTTATACATACGGGAGTTTTTCGGTTGTTCCTTGAAGTTCCGTCAGAAACGATAGGAGGACGAGGCGTTTGACGGTTCAGAAAGCAAATTAAAAATCTTGGGCGATGTTCAGGCCTCCGAGGACGACGATCTGGTCGAAACGTAGGCCGTCAATAAACAGTTCTACCTAACAACCTCGCAGGCACAAAAGAATGACACACAAATAACAACGGTGCCGAGGTTCTATGAAGAGAGAAGCTGGAGACTAGCAGCATTTTGAGATTCGGAATCAATGAATGCACCTTTGTTGTAGCACTTCCGAAATCACAAAGAACGTAAATTGGAGGCGCTGCACGGTTCCGTTCATCCACAAGGATGTTCTCAACCTGAATTTTAATAACGTTAATTGTAATATTTAATTGTAATCTCGATGTAAGCTAACTATAATTTACAGGTAAGTGCAGGGTAATGAATAAGATTATGGTGTTGGGTACCTTTAAATCGCGATGAATTATCGGCGTTACAGAATGATGCAGCCTTGCAACAGCTTCACACATATCGCAAAAGATGGAAAGAACTTCGCTGCTGCGAAGACTCTGCCCAAGGAGAAGGCGATCATTCATCAGTTGTAAGACACTCGCTAAAATGTACATAATACACGAGATATGTAAATGTCAGAGACTCTTAAAAGCTAGCTGATAGGAAACATAAAAAAGTTGGTGTGGCTTGGTGAAGAAAAGACACTGTTAGTCAATTTTGCAAAAGTGCTACTCAACAATTGCTGTAGACTTGTGAAATCAGAATAGGTAGAATCATAAGTTAGTACAGATATCCTAGCTCGCTGAGATGAAAGGGCTAAAATCTTCGCCGTTGGTCGATCCCCTCTTAATATGCGCTTCACATTCCACTCCTTCAGTACCGTAGTGGTCATTTGAATGCGATGTGGCCCATAGAGTGACTTGCGGGGGACTTCCGATGTACAAGCTGGTTTTGTTACCCTCTCAAACAAATCTGGTATCACTTTACCGTCCCCGGAAGGCCTAGCTGGCTTCGGCTGGAGGCGATGCAACATTTGTTCCCCTGACCGCGCGAGGCCAACCAAGCATTCTACCTTCCGGGGCCGGTAAATTTGCACCACTTTTGTTAGGAGATAAGAAATTGATTCGCACATCGACTGTCCCCCACAGTTTACTGGACAGGCGACATCGCGTTCCATATGCCACTACGATTCTGAATGGAAGTGGAATGTGAAGTGCACTCCAAAAAGGGATCGATCAACGGCGAGACTTATTCTTTTTATCTTTTATCCATTTATGGGGAACCACATGAGAATAATTTTTGATTTCAGATGAATGACTGGGGTGATATGCCACTACGCTGCTCTGCAACGGAATGATTGACTGAAACCCTCTGAAAGACATGGATATGCGAAAAATAATAAAGAACCATTCACACATAAAACCTAAAAAGTCTTTTGATATCTTTCGATATTTGTGGCGGTCAGTTTCGGGGAAAAGGTCTGGAAACGACAAACGGGCTCGGGAAGAGTGAGTTGCATTTTAGTCGTGAAAGTGCAAAGGGTGCTTTACTCCCAGTAGTTCAGTGAACAAAATCAGAAACTGCAAAAAATCGTGTAGCTTCAATATTTATGACAGGTGGTAGCATACTGCCAAGAGATGTCTAAGATGGTCCGACCTTAAGTAATGGTTCAAGTGAATGCGAACGCAGTCCAAAAAAAAAGAAGAAAAAGAAACTCACTTCTGTAGTAAGCCGTTAAGAGCATATAATCGTAGATGCCGGATTTATTCTTTGTTAGAATATGATCCACATAGCTGACTATATTTTTGTGTCCTTTTAAACTGCTCTGTAAAAAAGAACTTTAACAAACGAACGGCATATGACTTGTAGAAATTACGAAAGTAGATTCAAAAAAAAATTAATCCCCTTTTTTCGAAATGAGTTTAACCAACCTTCTGGTAGTTTCGTGTTCCTTATATGAAACCACACTTCTGCGGTCGACCCCCTCACGGTCTGTATGGCCGGTAGGGAATAAAAAATCTTAACCCCAAATTTTTTTTGCAGGGCCCGAAGAAATCTCCACTAGGATATGTTTGGGCTTACAGATGTTCCATAACAATCAAATCCCTCTGCGTTACATTTGCGAAATTGCATGGTAGAGATTCAGAAGTTACAGCCCTTCAAAACAAAATTACCCACAATGATTTGGAACTCCCTCCGACATGCATCAACTTGCTTGTTGTCGTCGTTAATGAACTGACGCTTTAGGGCATATTTCCGATTATTTTTATCCGTAACCAGATAGACGATCGCAAATCCTCCTAAATAATTTTTCTCATTAAAAACGAATAAAAATAAACTAGGCTAACTTTGATCTTAGCGAAAAAAAGCCGAGAAGCGAGAAGCGGAAAGGCCGCTCTCAGAAAAATCACAAAGTAGAAAGTAACATAGCTACAAAGGTCTCTCAACAGAGGGATCACTCCGATGAGTGATATCCGCGAACCTTTTTGCGTGGAGAGATGGGGTAATGGAGACCTTGGACATGCATATCGAGCGCTAGTTCCCCGGGGGAGGGGGTGTTTCAGATCACAGATAACTCTCGAAACGGATTGATGCATGCTGTACGAGCCCATAAGTGCTCTCCTCATCATTACGGACTGTCGGGGCGTATCGGCCAGTAGGAGTGCGCACACTGTTTGAAGCCGTTCTCAGCCTTTTCGTTGAAACGCGTATGCGACAAAGTGGTAGAAAACGAGTAATACGAAGGATATAATGCTGTCATGCTCATTTGCTCGCTTCAACAAATGGTGCAGAAAGACTTTGGCACCGCGGAAAACGCAGCCGCACTGACCCGCCCCGACGTCCGTAATGATGAGGAGAGTAGAACTCATTAGGTTGATGGTTCAAATTTTTATGGCGACAAAATCTTGCAGTTGCATGAGTTTCATTTTATTGGCGTTTTATGAGCTGCAATTTTTGCCCAAACAGAATCATGCTCAAAAACATTGGCACCTTTTGCCCAAGAAACAAGAACAATTTATATCACCGATTCGTAACGAGCACCCAGGTCGACTATTCAGGGCTCTTTAGGCGCCAAACAGATAAATTAATCACAGAGCTACCTAACCAGCCCTTTTAGCAAAAAGCTCTAACTGTTTGGGAACAGAATAAACCGTCAATCCATTTAATGGTGATCAGCCACACAGAACCACTATGCACTCGTCCCCGTGCAGGATATCAGCCAAGTGTGTGGTCAGGCCCGATCTAATGTTTCCGCCTACACGTAAGTACGCCTAGCTATCTGCTTTATACGTCACCGATTCTTCAGGAACCTGCACATAAAAGACTCAACCGTGAGAATGAGCGACTGCCTTATAATGCCGATTTCTAAGCGCTTTTGAGCTTGATGGCGATGACGTATGGCGCCTTGCCGTGGCGATAAAGGCTAAGCCGAAGTGCTTGATGCTATTTATAGAGGGTTGTTGATGCACATTTTACTATGCGGCTTGCCCTACTAGTTGGACTTAACGTGGCAATGCACTCACTTGGCCAGTTGTTTTCACCCACCCTGAATACTACCATAACGTGTAACACTACTTAATTAACTAAACTAGTTACAGTCCGATTCGCTACGGAAGATAGAGCGTGTCCACGCGCGGCACGTTTGGCGTGCTACCGAAAGCATTCTCTATCAGTTATTGAAGCAAGTGTGTGACCCTTAACCGCCAAAAATCCGAGTTCTAAGGAAAACTGGTAAGGAACTGTGCAATCATAAATATTAGATTGAAACGACGCAATCAAAAGTATAAATTACCTTCGGCAAGTTTCTTTTCAATAGTTACAGTGGTGTTCTCCAAACGTAGCACTGTTCCACGTCCATCCTTCTCGAGGCCTTCCTTCTTCTCCTTATATCCACCACTGTCAAGGCTGGTCAAGGGTTGTGGTTTTGAAGAAGAGCCGAAGAGGCCCAGAGGCATTCCTCCTAAATTAATACTATCATTCGACTATTTTGGATGCGCTCTCGAACGCAAACCCGGCGACTGAATATTCTGGATAGTGGCATCCAATTACACACCTGCAGTCGATAAGTGACTCTACAGGGAAGAAAAAAGCAAAAACACCCATGGAGAACACTATGTAAAGACCGCTCTGGCAAAAATTGTTTCTTTGTGTCATCCAACGCAAATGCCATCTAACAGTGGAAAAAAATAACGGAAAACACGGCAAAAATTGTACTCGTGATAGAAAATAGTCTTTGATTTTGGTGGGCGAGACAACTAGGGAGGGGTCAGAACTGGCACTCGCGCGGGCCACAGCGCCTTCGTTTACTGTGAAACCGAGTGGGAAACCTCGGAGGCGGACCACTTGAACAACGAAAAACGAAAACCATCTACGAACTGCTTGAGCAAGGGGACTCTAAGCATTGCACGTTCTGAAAAGTAAGCTCTACTAATTAATGGTGTTAAGTTTAATTTGAGGTCATTACTTATTAAAACGATGCTGAACGTAATTAAGGTAAGAGCCAAAAGGAACTTTTTTCAATCCTTCTCATCGTGTCGCACCTAATTCGAAGCCCTATAAACTCCTGCAAAGCCATAGAATGGTAAGAGATACAATTCCAGTTCCTCGCACTCTTTTGCGCTGCACGGCGCCGAAGGAAGAAAAGCGCGAAGGAACGGTAGTAATGAAATGGATGAAGGCGTTTGCCTTGGTCTACAGAATAAGTGATTTTAGGTGGGTGAACCATTCCGTTTTTGCAGAAGTTATTTTCGCATACGATGAGATGTTGCTCGCCCAGGCCGAAGACACAACCATTCTTGCACGCGCACCACGATCCCCCCCCCTCTTCTTTCTGCACTCTTATTTCCGATGTCGCTCATTGGAACAGCATGGTTCTGAAAGAAATAAATGCGCAGCACTTTGTAGCTCAAGCTCGAAAGAAGTTTGCAGGATCTCAAAAAATGGCTCCGTGTGGCGACGGTTACTCACTAAATTCGCCCCTCTCGATGGACTTGCGCCTAACCTTTGCTATCCTACTCATCTTCTCATAAGTGAACGAAAAAAGTAACTTGCAGGGAGACTTGACCTCAAAGGAAACCGACAATCTAACTTCAAAACTGAAACTGAAGAAAATACTATATAAGAATAATTGTTAAGAAGAACAGTTGTTACAATTACAGGGGACAATGGTCAAAAGCTTATTAACATAATCTTAACCGCCAAATAAGCTACACTATTGAGTTAAAAGAATTATATAAATCACTAGTGACTCATCATGAACCTAAAGAATGCAAGCGAGAGAACGTCGTGCTTCTTGCTGAGGATGCCGGAGATGACGGCCCTATGAACGCAATCACACAAACACCATTGTACCCGACGCCTTCTGGAAAGAGACATAGCTGTATGGAGAAAAAGCGCAGGGAAGTACGAAAATAAGTCATTTATTTCACGAAAAGGAACTGCTCACGTATATAATTGTTTTCGGTACAAGCGTTCGCAGGTTCAAGTGCTAAGGACTGCTCGAATGTAGCTTCTCTCTGTTTTTATATCTACTTGGAGAACTAGCAGGACAAACCCTTCGTGCGGCAGAAAGTTGGTAAGGCCACTCCTATAGGTGTTTCCTTTTAATGGGTATACCCCGCCCGCTTCCCTTACTCATACTTTTTCTCGATCCCCTAGTCCCATCCGCTGACCCATTTTTCAGGCGGAGTTCATACTTTGCGGCACCGTCCACCAGCGACCGTCAGCGTTTCGATGGTATGTTAGCGTCAGCGATAGTTAGTCTGTCGTCAAGTAATGGTATGAGTGGTAGGACTCGAATAAGGGTGCCAGGGTGCCAAGAAAGTCAATGGTGGGGAAAAAACAGAAAAAAAATAGTCGCCAGTGTCATGAAAAGACCAACTAGCGAGCGCATTTCTCAGAGGGTGAGCGACGAGTTCGTGGAACGAGATCACCGGACAGTGGTGTAGTTGATATGGTAGTATACGGAGATTGACAAGATTTCACAGTGGTAATTGTGCGGCATTGTGGCCTGCAAATGCAAGGTGGGTGAGTGATAGCTAGTGTCATGAAAGAGTATCATGTACACGTGACGCACACGTGATGACAGAATATCAACATCCATGCAAACGTAATACGGAAGGATCAAAACCAGGAGACAGAAACATATGCATCAACCTGATTTACAGGGGGGGGGGGGCAAAAAAAGCCATTTCGACCGAGTCACATATCAGCAAAGCTCTCGCAGCCCATACAGGAAGTGGTACGAGTATCAGGGCGGAAGGTACCCAAGATGTTCCTCGGTAAGCGGGAACTGGCTCTCGCTCATCACCTTCATGTACACCAAAATACGAAGTCATCTCCAGTCACAGCCTGAATGGAGAAGACTTTTGGAATTCATGTCACCTCCAAACAGCTGCGAAACTTCTACTGTGGAGTCACCCATGGATAGCTACCTGGAGACCAGTACTCTCGATCTGGAAGACCTCCATCATCGAGCAGCTCCACAACGTCGCTACGGTATAGGACATCATTTTCACCACAGTCGCCAAGGCGCGGGTTGATGGTACGGACCAGACGTACCTGGAATGGAAAGACCGATATTTTCTTCGTGGACCCCGGACTGAAGGTGAGCGCTGGCGGTTACAACGATTAGCTAGAGAAGAATATCCTCCCCACATGTCGTCGCTCGTACCTTCTTGGAAACTTTGTACTGCTACAGGACTGGGTGACACCACATGGAATCGAAATGAATTGGAAAAACTCTCGCCTACTAAGAATGGAAGGGCGTTGAGTACCTGAAAAAGGTGGAATATCTAAGTAGGTCACCTGACCTGAACCCCTCAATTTACCTGGTTCGGGCGGAGTTCAGTAGGTGGTCCACAGTAGCGGAGAAATCAACGATCTCGCTGATTTCAGGCACCCACTCACGGTCGCGTGGGAGAATCCCTCGATGGCGCTCCTCCAGAAGGCTGTGGCGAAGTAACATGATAGTGTTTAATATTCTCTTTAATATGGTGGTAGAAATGTCCGATCAGAATTCAATGAAGTGTAACTTATAGGGCCTCGAAGGTCAAGGAAGAAAAAAGTCTTTTTTTGCCTCCCCCCCCCTCTGTAAATCAGGCTGCAGAGAAAGTCGCGTTAGCGCTTTTCCCCCAATACCTTACGGTTCTCGATTCTCAATGCCTGAACATGCTATGCTTGTAGGACATTATTTAAGCTTTCCCGCAAGTGGTACGTTAAGGCGCCGACTCTTCCCTGGGTATGGTCATGATGTCAATTTCACATTAGCAGCTTCGACTCATTATCTTCTGAGTGATGCCGTGGCACTGGAGCAACGGTAGCTAACGGCAACATCAACGATGTATTGGGGGAGGACACCACTACCATCAGGACGGTCCACCTCTGGTTTGCTCGCTTCGCGAAAGCACAGCGAAGGCTACCACACGCAATCTAGCGGCAGGACGGGTGTACCGAACTGACAGTCGTCCATCTCCTGTAAGCCCTCAGTATCGAAAAGTGCTGGCACGGTGGATCCCTCATACCTTGACGGGTGACACACAATAGACCCGGATACACATTTGGTCTCTTCTCTTCTCCGCCATCGAAAGGAGTTTCTGAGAGTCTAGTTAATGGAGATGATAGATGAGTCTTTGTGATTCCAGTCCGTATAGTACCGTGCGACATCTCGAGGAGAAGACCCGTCATAACAAGCCAAACCGGGCATGCACTTCAAAGGCTCGCCTGTGCTGCTTCTGGAATGCGAGGGAAACGCTCCACACAAGCTGCCCCTGAGAAAAGCACGGCCGCTGCCACCAATTGTTCCGTTCTGCTCTAAAAATGCGTAGAAACTGTGCGAAAAAATGACCGAGATTAGATTCGGGCACCTCGTTCGTGATGACGCGGTACTGCTTCGGAGACCTACCAAATAATCGAGGAGCAAGATTGGGAGATCATACCCCGCTCATCATATCCTCCTGACATAGCCCACGACCGCTGTCTGTGTTTTCTCCCATAAGCTCTGTTTACCTCTATAAGTCCTATCACTATCTCTCTATCACTATCGAGTGAAATATAAACCTCACTCATGGCAGAGTGAGGTTCAGTTTTATGGAATTTGCGGTTGTATTCTCCATGTTACGACCATAAAGAAGCTATGCTACCCGTCGTGGACCACAAGCTTCACAACATGGCGACCACGGCAGGATACCACAGGGAAGAGCTGAAGTAAAACAAGTCATCAGCAAGTTATGTATGTACTGAAAAAGAGAGAAAGCGTCCCCATACTGCCTACCACCCTTTCCTGATCATCCCAAAGAGCGAGTTCAAAAACCTCATTACCCATTTTATAATTGCGGCATCGACTACGCCGGTCCATTCCGAACAACGTCGAATGAAGAAGAGGGCAAAGTTTGGATTGCCCTGTTCACATGCCTCAACACACGCGCTATCCACATCGATGTAGCGAAAAGCCTGACCGCAAATTGTTTTCTACAGATTTTTCGACGATTCATATCGACCCGTGGATGCCCTGATTGGATACTGTCAGATAATGCGTCGACATTCACCTCCGTGGAGAACTTGATCCCTACAAAGCCCAAAGCGAACAACAGTGTCACCGACTACTGCGCTCGGCATAATATACGATTCAAATTCATCTCCGCTTTCGCTCCATGGCAAGGTATCTTATACGAAATATACGAAAGTATGATTAAAATTTTCAAGAATTCCTTCAAAGCCGTTATTAAGAACCGCAAACTGGACATAGACGAATTTCTTACACTAGCAAAAGAGTGTGAAGCGATAACAAACAGCCGACCCATCACATATGTATATAGTGACACCGAATCAGGATACCCACTTCGACCCATCGATTTTCTTAGACCATTCGCTCTCCTGGGATCACCTAGAATACAGGAAGAGGACGAATCAGACGAAGAATGGAAGAGTGGAATAAAACGAGATGATCTTCAGCTAC